CCCACATGAAGCATAATTCAATGAGACGGAGACCAATACGGAAGAAGATATGTTCCGTAAAATTAAGAGACTTTGTTGAATTGTAATTTTGTGTTTGTAATTCTGTACAGTTAATTAAGTTATTGTTAATTGTTATTGGTTTATTGTATGTGGTTATTGTTCGGGACGAACAATACTAAGGAGGGGGCAGTGTTGGGTCATCGAGGTCACGTGACTGGTGTGGCACCCTCTAGTTTCTAGAACTATCTTGTTCTTTCAGGAATGCTCTAGTATTTACTAGATAGGGTAGTCGGGTATATAAATAAGAGGGGACAACATGACCCGAGGAGAAGGTAATGTGTGTATAGACAGTGAGTAATTGATTTGCAGTCAGAAGTATTATTGAGCACGTTCGTTGTTATAGCGTTTGTTTAGCGCGATTGTTGAAGTTAAGTGTATCGGTAAAGTTGTATTCGGAAAGAATAAACCAGTTTTATTAAGTAAAGAACTTGTGTCGCAAAAGTTTCATCGGAACGAAGTTACGGAAAGTTAATTAACAAACGGAGACGTAACAATAGTTTTACGTGACAGTAATCAATGTGATTTATTAATTAAGTTAACTGTCCAACCCTAGATCAAAAACACTAAAACTAATCACAAGAAATAAACATTATTTGTGAAACTCCACATTTTTCAATCAGCTTGTAAGCTACTTGCTTGTCATAACAACTTTTCTAAGGTTCTTATAAATTATCATTATACCTAATATTTTGGTAGACGGGAATATGTAATCGCTATTTTGGGAGAATTACAACATAATCATGGACATAATATGGTTTGATGCTTTCTGATAAAAACATGATGGCAATGTTAATTGAAATCCTTATATATACACATACAGGAATTCTGTCATTAAATGTGATTTGAATCCAAACGACTGAAATGTAATAAAAGCAACTATTAGGAATTGGATTCACATTACATATATGTAAATTTGCTTAGGAGAAGAAATAAAACTAGATATGTTTTTTACCTTTGCCTCATCATTGGTATGTTTACACAGTTAGCAGCGGCTACAGCACAGAATGGAACAAATCGGCCGATCAAGGGAGAAGCTTTCTGCACGTAAAAAATAAGACACGTGAAGTGCTCATATAAGTTCTTTAATAAATGTATCAAAAAATTAAGTATTTAAACAAGATATATACTATTTTGCATTCAAGGACAAAAAAAACTACTATTAAAACAATTCACGAATGTAATTAAGCCCTGGTATTGGGCAAAAGGCCTCGTTGGCATGGATATGACAGATATGTCGTGTTTGACACATATTACAAATTCTTCTTTGCTTTCACTCATACGTTCTTGTAATTAACATGTCAGAATTAAAATCTGATCTTCGCCAATTGTCAAATAGAAAGGCTTTCAGTTATATTTCTTGATAGTATAAATATGTTGTTGTTGGGCTTAGGATTCTTCTACAGTAGGTGTCTGACTTGTTAACGGTAAATTCAATAATGAATAAACAGCACGCACTTCACTTGTTTTCAAATAACATATATATATATATATATTCAGAACAAATTAACGTATATGAAATAAATTCTTCAACACTATAGATGTTATGGGCATATCATAAATACTATATATGTAGTTCTCTCCTTTTTGTCAAATGTCCACTTAGGCCTATTCAATTACTTTGGAATTTCAGTTGACAAGCTGAACTATCTTCTCTATTTCTATCGCACTAGTATTCTCTGAGATTCACTTACAATTGTGGCGTGAGTTACTGTAATCATTTGGTCTTCTTTCTTTTGAAGATCCTCTATTCCTTTTGTCAAAGTGCACTCAGGCTGATTCAATTACTTTATAACCATGCTTTGATGGAATAAAATTATTTTTTCTTATCTTCTTTTCTACTGTTAGTTTCACTCTAACATATTAAACATTAGGCCTATGTCAATTGTTAGGCCTATCACTTCTATTGCAGTTAATTTCACACCAACTTTATTCTCATTTACTATTATCTGTCTGCTGCTTCCTGCTCGTCTTACGCTATTTATATCTTTATTACATAATCGTCTGTCCGCCTTCTATATTCTCAACATCAATGAATTATTAACAAAACTTCCTATAATTGTCTGCTTTTAACTCTTATTATAACAAAAATTAAACAATAATAAAATATTTACTCACAAAAATAAATTAATCACAAATATCTAAACCAAACAGTCTTTTATATCATGACATAACATATTTCTCAGCAGTTTGAATGTAGTTAAGCAAACAAAACAAATGCACAAGAAAAATAATTACAAAAGTTAATTTATCCTGTTAAAAATAACGTATTTTTAGTTACAGCTTTTAAATATTTGTGGCATACTACAGCATACAGGTAGCCAACTAGCTAATAATTTTTTTTTCATATATACATATATTAATCAAACTTAATTTTTTAGCCAATGAGTTTATTTGTTTTTGGATATTTGCACAAAGCTACTCACGATTAAATGCACTATCCATCCCTAATTTTGAACTCTCGAGCTACTCTTATCTGATTGAATAGTGAGACTTGATCGTCACCCTTACAATGCATGCACAGTCATGAAGTGTGGAGAATAATATTTTTATGCTGCCAATTGAACATGAACTCGAAGATCTGGCACTCTAACCACTGGGCCACACTGAGCCTGTGATTAAGCCATTTAAAAGTTTTTAATACAGTCAGAATCATAATAGCACTAAGCTCTTCACATTTTTCACACAAGTAGCTTTCCAAGTCACAAACAAGAAAATTAGACTTCAAAAGACAACCTTGAGCACTCTTGAACAGTTTACTGTTCTTCTTCACTCTTCTTTACTCCTGAAGAAGAAGAGTTGACTGTTCTTCCTCACTCTTCTTTACTCCTAAAGAAGAAGAGTTGACTGTTCTTCCCTCACTCTTCTTTACTCCTAAAGAAGAACAGTTGACTGTTCTCCTTCCTCACTCTTCTTTACTCCTGAAGAAGAACAGTTTACTGTTCTTCTTCTTCACACTTCTTTACTCCTGAAGAAGAACAGTTGACTATTTGATAGAGCTTAAATTTCTGGGTCTTTCGAAATCTACTCGATTTTTGTGTGTAATTTTTATGCTAATTCTTTAATGAAAGGAAGTAAATTACACACTCTAGCTGAGTAATTACACTATTTTAATACATTCTGGGCATGTTCTGCAAGTAAAAGCATTAGATAAACATAGTTTAAGCCTGTTAGTTTGTCATCACAAACCACAGAATGCTTTATTACTATGGCACAATCAACTTCCATAAAGCAGTACTTCTAAAACTTTTAAGTGATCATATAAATCACCCTACTGGGCTGTTTTCCATCTTTCACCTATTATATTTTTTTTTCCAATAAAATAGTAATATAATATTACCTTCACAAGACTGTTCAAACTCAAGGCAGTGGCAAGAGCCCCAGAAGTGGCAAAAACGTAGGACAGGCTCAACTGGCTATAATGTTAACAAAAATCACTCTGATTAGAAAAATCTGGAAGATTAATGTAAAAACAATTCATTCTTTACTTTTAAAGTTGTAAGCATTTCTTTTATTTGGACAAGCCTAATGACTAATTTAGATAACAATATTTGTAGCTGTCCCACAGTCTCCTCTGTCAGATACTTAAAACAAATAACAAAAGCAATGGGTGAAGAAGCATGTATATAATCTACAACATGTTTGATGTGTTCAACAGCCTTGTATTTATTCCTTTAATACATTTAATGTTTTTTGAAGATATTTGACCAAACTTACGACAAGGAGATTGGAGAATCTCCACTACGGTTGGTGTAGTTAACTACTGCATTGAAAGACTGGTTAATCCACTGCCAAAAGACAACTTGAGGTGTTGTTCTGTACAAAAGAGAAGCAAAAATGTACAGGTTAAACAAATAATTGCCTTAATAACAAGATTAAATAATACTATACAAGCTAGATCCCTAGATAGTTATTACGAAAAAATAAATAAATTTAATATTAAAAAATCGCAAGAATCGACTGGAATGCTCAACATCAAGTCACTCTAAGTGTCAAAAGTAAGCTGAAAGAGTCGAGTTCCTACATACAAGAACAAAATAGGTATGTGAAAAGTTAACACAAGTGTTTACACGTGTAAAAATTCAGAAGAGGAAATTTTTACAGTAATCAAATTTAATTAATGACTTATTGCAGTAATAATTACTACTGGATAATTAGGTTTATTTTTTTTTATAAAATAATGTGATAACAGTTGTAGTTTTCTTTGACATTTAAAACTATAAAGTTTGAACAATTTACACAAACAGTAATTCAAATGTATTCTTAATTCACTATATTACACAAATTTCTCGTGATTTAGTAGTTTAGAATAATAGATGACGTAATCATCCATTGTTTGTGAAATTTTACATTACATGTAATCAAATGGAAGAAAAAATATTGCTAAGGTTGTGAAAATTTTAACTATTCATCAGATTTACTGCATCCTTATATTATTTACCTCTTACACATGTAAATACCATTGCCAGCAACAAAAGTTAGGTAATAAGATCCATTGACATTGATGGAAATATTTAGATTTAGTGTGTGTGTGCTTTTATAATTAATTCACCAGTTGGTCAAACATTTAGTTTAAATTGTTTACTTTTTTCTTTGTCAAGAATGTATAACTTATTAAAAAAATTTAGATAAGGTGTAGGCTTGTTTCAAGAATGAAAAAACAAATAAATCTAAATTCCCAGTATCTTAAAAACAATTAACATAACATTATATTAAATGGGTTATTTTTGACCTTCAAAACCAATACACTGTTATAATTATGCTGTAGATCTGTTGAACTTGTTACTTGATTGTATCAGTACTGTATATACAGAGAGTTAAATATTTTATATTAAAACAATTTGAATATGCAAATCAGCAAGTCATGGCCAATATAAAGTCACAGTAGAATGTCATGTATCAGAAATACATTTTAATATTGTTTGGAATTTTATAAGGTGGTTTGGTAGGAATTTCGCAAAAAAAAACTACTTGAGGGCTATTAGCATTCTCAAATGAGCCTGGGATAGTTGGAATAATCAATTTAATCATAAATTTCATTAATCAATTAGTTTAAGTGACATTAATTGATGTAATCAGTGACAATTGATTAATCATGTTAATTACCCAGCTCTATATAATAGTTTAATTCTATCTACCCATTAGTACTTTTAGTAACACTTCTGAAGTCTACAATTATTAGACTGTAAGAAAAACAAGGTGACAGAAGTCCAATTAGCCTATTTACGTTGCCTACACATCCAATTAACCCTCAAATTACTGACTTATTTTTGTATGCAATAAACAACTGGTGGGGTTTCTATACTGCATCATATTGAATAATTTTGTTTTTGCCTGGTTCAACATTCTGTGTTAAAAAAAAATCATTTTCTATGTAAAGTACATAAAGTACCCCTGCAGTAATTAGTTAGGTTAATTCAAATATGGATGGTATCTTCATTTACATTTTTGTGTGAGGTTCGTATGCTATTAGCGACCCTGTAACTAACAATGTTATGGACCCACAAGCAATAAGGTGCATAAATAGTTTAAAAAAAAAAAGTGTTGAAAAAGCCAATGGAGCCTCATCTTTAATTCGTCCATTAAAACAAACAAATATAAAAAATTTTAAACTTTCTACTTAATTTTTTACACCAACTTAAATATATATTCCTTTACCTCTATAATCCTATCTAATGCAACAATAAAAGAATTCAAGCAAACAGTATAGACCAAATCAGGCAAACCTTTCTATTAGTTCAAAATTCTTATCAATTTTTTATTTATTTTTAAATCTATGAACCATGTCTACATCTAGGCATCTAAAGTTTAAAACCTATTACCTTTAGTTTTGTGGAATGATTGAGACATGGAGTTAGTATTACTAACTATTCAAACTATTACTCTCGTCTTTATTGTGTGTATTATTATTATTTTCACAATGTTTCAACCAGTGAATTCTCCAGCCATCATCAGGCGTTATATCAGACATTTTTGTATGCATCACAACCAGAAAGATTTTTGTGGAATTACCAGAATTTGAACCTCCAAACCTATGATACCGAATACAGGCATTCTTACCACTTGGCTAGAAGTATCTACCCATGACTATAATTTCCAAAAATACAAATACTAAGCTTACTTGTAAAAGGCTAGCATGCATCCAGTAATTGACATGTTCATTGGCACCTGAGCTGACATTCTACCAATCAGAACCATCTTCTCGCCAGTATCTGGATGGAAGGCGGAGTCGTACACATGTTTGGCATGCCAAAGCTCGTCTTCTGTTAAATTTGATATATCAATTCCTTTCCTACAAAACAATAAATCTTGTTTTCACTCTAGCACAAAATTAATGAATGAAGACTAGTAAATATTAATAATTCCTTGTACAAGTAACAATGACTTCCACTAGTCGAGAAATTAAAGCAGAGTGAGTTTAGTAGAAGCAGTGTGAGACAAGGACATGGTCACAATACATCAACACACTGTATGTGTCTGTCTAATTTAAATAGCAAAAAAAGTTATTATACAATTTTTACTTTTTTAAAGAAAATGTTCAAGCATTTTGATGAAATGGACTTTACAGTAACACATTTGTAAATTAAGTGTAAGTTGAGAAACCTTTATATAGTTTTACTAAATTTTTCAGTTAACTTACTCTATCACATGTGCAACAAAAGATAAAATGTTTTTTTTTTATTTTCTACAGTGACAAAAAAAGAATTGATTAGATTCAATACTCCATAAATTCATTAAAACTATCATAAAATTCTCAAACATTTGATCCATTTAATTAAACAAAATTGTTCTTGCCCATCAATTGCTTTTAATAATATTTTTGTACATATATTTTTCTAAACACTTTAAAAACTTTTATCCAAGCTTTTCTAACCCACAATGTGCACTGTAAGTAAATTAAAAACACAATTAAATTGTACAATATACAAATGCAAAGGATGTGAAACACTTTAGAAAAATCAAACAAAAACATTACTAATAAGAAGACAAATTTTTTTTATTTACTTTGGATTAATTATTAGTTCAAAATTTTATATGAAATAATTTATCCATAAAAAAATTATATACCGGTATTTGGTCACAATTTCCCTGGCACTTTCTAACTGTGATGATGTGCACAGTAAATTCAAGGGGTTGGTAACAGTAAAAAAGTGCTTAGCTCGGCCCCAGTAAGTAGACTGATCCCAGCGTGGCTCTTCAATGTTAATATTTCTTGAAGCAAGACTCATTTTGGCTTCAATATTGCTTGAAAATCTCTGTGAAAAGATCAAAAAATTTATAGTGTACTTCTAGATCTTTAACATACACACACACACACACACATACATATATATATATATATACAATAATTTTGTGTATTATCATAGCAGGTATGTGTGTATTTTGACTTGTACAGGGCTACTGTTCACAAGTGAGCCTTTCACAATTGCAGCTGTGTATCAGGTGGCCCCTGGGACAGCTACCTTACCAGTACAGATGCTATTGTTATGTAGTACAGCCTATAATGTAGGTGCATTTTCTATTTAATTATTCTTGGTTGAAACTATGATCACAAGGTCTAATACTTTATTATACAAGAAATGCTAAAGTAAATCTATTCTATAATTTTTTCCACTATTTCAGCATTATTTCATCTCTTATATATATGCGTTTTTCCAATTAAAACTATACTCTTGTAGAGTTACCTTAAGTTATATGGCATTTATTAACAAAAAGTCACGTGCTTTTAATTAAATTACTTAATTAGTTAAGTATATGGCTAGTCTTACCAATTATTGAATTAATTTATAATTTATGGCTGGTTTCATATCTTCTTTAATCCATATTTTAATTTACCTAGCATAAAATATGAAGCAAAATAAAACATGTTAAATTTTAATAAGTTTAATAAAGATTATATTAATTATATATGTATCATATGGATATTAACTTTTGTATAAAAAAACAATCCCTAGCCATGACTTTATACTGCACTTTAGTTTGTTACTGTTACATTATATTTTACAAAACTACGCAATTTAAAAATAAAACGATCGAAACCATATTATTAATTAAACGCAAGTATTTTTGTTATTTGTTTCTACAAACCTTGTAAACTAAAAGTTACGAAAAATATTATTGAGAGTTACTACGGACCAGATGTCTCACGAATCTGAAGATGGAGATGTAGGTCACGTTGATACGTATGGATATATAACACGTTAGTTTTAAAAAGAAATATTAAACCATATTTTTTATATATTTAATTGTACTTTAAATCAAAACTAATTGTAAATAAAATATTTTGTTTACGTTAAGTATTTAGAATACAGCTAATCATTTTAATAAAGATCTCCAAAAGTACGACAAAAATAATATATTTTAATAGATGACTCAATAAAGTGATTCGTGAAAAAATATTTTCTGATGGTAGCATATCTACATGTATCAAATAAATTATACGGTTTCATTTGAATATACGCGAAAGATACACATAGAATATATTGCGTTTGAATTAAACCTAAATGGCATCAGGAAGACACTCTTCGTTATACTTATTCTGTAGTTTGTGTGAAGTGGTCGGCAGTATTAGTGTGGTGTTATATTTGTTGTTATATCGCAGATTTATTTCCTTTTTATCAAAGGTAAAATTGAAAATATAGATTTTTACCCCAGTAAAAAAAATAAAAAATCTGTAATATTATCTTTAAAAGCTGATCCGCTCTGTTATATCGAATAATAAATTAGACCCCACTCCATAATACCATTCACATACTTAAATTAATTTAGATTACTATATAGTGAGTCAAAATAAAAAGAATTTTAAAATCCCATAAATTAGAACACATTGTTTTAACATTATCCTGTTATTGGTAGATTCTTTTATATTATCTCGAGAAAATAATTCTTCATACAGTCCACGTAACGATAATAAATTATTTTATTTCCTCCGTACGTTTCTAGAAATTTGAACGCTTGTACACTGCTGTAATTTGCATTAGGCCTATGTTACTAATGGCGTTAACTAACGTAAAACAAATCAACTTACTTGTAAAAAGTAATCACGATAGCTAACACACTGATTGGTTCACTCTCTATCTTGAAATAATCCTACTTCCTGTTTCCATGACTATTTTTCAGTTCGCTCTCACACTAACCTAATGATTCTTCATGGAGTGTCTATTTATAATCTATATTTGAATATGCTAAAAAAGACTTGATATGACATCCATAGAACTTCCTAGGCCTTCTACGTCCTCTAGCTAACAAATTAGAACATTAAAAATATAGCTTACCACAATAAGAACACTATAGGACCATTTGGCTCTTCAAGTCTGTCCTTACACACCCAATTTTAAGAAAGTTTAAAAATTAAACTCACCCTAAATCAATAATTATGGTAAAAAATAAAACTGTCGCTTTCTCATCCTATTGTTACGACAGTGGGGGTCACGTGACGAATATTCTAGAAGATTCGCTAGTGTGTTACAACAGCGGGGGGTCATGTGACGAGTATTCTAGAAGATTCGCTAGTGTGTTAAGGCAGTGGAAGTCAAGTGACGCTGGTAGCACGTGTTGAGAGTCTTAGAAGTTTCTAGAACAGGCAGTATTATCGTATATAAATGCACTAGACAGTGAGAGAGACAGACGGAGGCAGAGACGAAGCAGGCAGAGAGAAAGAAAGAAAAACAGCGATTACGGTCGGCGGGAACTGAGGATAGCAGACACAGAGATCGGAACTATAGTTGGCGGGGACGGACAATTAAGTCTAAGCGCGATAGAAAGTGAGTGAATTGTTGTGAACTATAGTGTGTGTAACTGTGAAAATTAAGTGCATTACAAAGTTGTATTGAGGAAGAATAAACAAGTTTTATAGAGAAAGGACTTGTATCTTAGAAGAATTAACAAACAAACATACAGAGACGTAACAAATTGGTGTCAGAAATGGGATAAAAAATAAGTAAGTAAAAAATGGAAACGAGAAGCGGCAAATCAAACTACAGCCTAGCAGACTTGATGGCAGCAATACAAGAGCAGCAAAAGAAACAAGAAGAACAAGAAGAGAAATTACAACAGTGGTTGGAGGAAAAAGAGAAGAAACAAGCAGAGACAACAGCAGTGGCAAGAAAACCTGTAACAGTGGCAGCTCGAACAACAAAATAAACAAGAAGAACGAGAAAATAAACAGTTGAAAGAAAACCTGCAACAGTGGCAGCTCGACCAACAAAATAAACAAGAAGAGAGGTTACAACAGTTGTTGGAGGAAAAAGAAAAGAAACAAGAAGAGAAATTACAGCAGTTGTTAGAGGAAAAAGAAAAGAAACAAGAAGAACGAGAAAAGAAATTACAACAGTGGTTGGAGGAAAAAGAAAAGAAACAAGAAGAGAGACAACAGCAGTGGCAAGAAAACCTGCAACAGTGGCAGCTCCAACAGCAAAATAAACAAGAGAGACTACAACAGTGGTTGGAGAAGAAAGAAAATAAACAAGAAGAGAGATTACAGCAGTGGAAACTGGAACAAGAAAGGAAACAGGAAGAAAGTCAGCAGCAACTACAGGAAAGCCAACAACAATGGCAAGAAATACAAATGGAAAACATTAGTAAATTTAAAAGCGAATTAGATACATTAAAGGATGATCTATTGTCTTTTACACAAGGAGGATACATTAACTATCGACTTAACCAACTCCAGACAATGGCAAGCCCCTTCCAGACCCCGCAGCTAAACCCTAATGCAGACATCTTCAGTCCTGTTAGAAGTCACATCACAGATATGAATGTCAGCAATAGGGGTGAGCCACTACGAAGGAAGCCACAGGAATTCGATGGGAAGGCACCATGGGAAGCATATAGAGCACAATTTGAGCTACTGGCAGAGAAGAATGGAT